TCAATGTTCAAAGGGATTTCTCAATGTGTCCCGGCTCTGAATATGCTTTACTTTGGTCAGTTCAATCCCCTCTGTTACTCTCCCTTACCCCTTCCCTCCAAACTCCATTATTGAGCAGCTTTCAGTACATATCATTATGTCATCTACCTATGTAGATGTGAAGTATTTCAGTATTGTTGCGTATCATTCTCTTTTCTTTCCCTCCTTCCCCAAGTTCCATAGTATAGTTTCACTATTGCCAACATATTCTACCTGTAGATGTGTACATGATCATGTTTGTTTTTGTGTATACATTTATTTTTTGGATCTAACTTCCACATATGAGAGAAAACATGTGGCTTTTGTCTTTCTGAATTTGGCTTGCTTCACTTAAGCCAATGTCCTCCAATTCCATCGATTTACCTACAAACTACAGTTTCATTCTTCCTTATGGCTAAATAATACTACACTGTGTATCTACACCACATTTTCTTAATCCACTCATCAGTTGTGGGGTATCTGGGTTGTTTCCATAGCTTGGCAATTGTGAATAGTGCTGCAAAAAATATCGGTGTGCGAGTGTTTCTATTGTATCCTGAGATGCATTCCTTTAGGTATATGCCCACAAGTGGTGTTACTGAATCATGAGGCAGTTCTACTTTTAGTTTTCTAAGGAATATCCATATTTATTTATTTATTTTTCATTCAATTAGTTTAGAATTGACTATACTGCAAGGTCAGGAAGAAGGCTGATTTTCCTCCAAGCAAGTTAATTTTACAAATACAAGTTATTCAATAAATAATCTTCTAACAATATATTTCTATCCCATAAACCAAGAGAGACTAGATATGCCAGTACTTTAGTACATTTATTGTATCAGCAAATGCTAAACAAGGTCACTGTGTTTCAGATCAAGTGGTTATTTGAGTGACAAATGTCAAGCAGTTGTCCTTTTGTGATTTTCTATGTGTAAAAAAGAGAATGCCTTATATGCTGAAAATATATTTGTAAGAATGGAAAAAAGAAAAATAAACAAAAACAAACCCATGACTGTTAAAAAGGAAGGTGAGATGATGAAAACAATTCAGCACAAATTCTGAACCTCTGAGTCACAGCAGGTTTATGCTATAAGTTAGAAATTAACCCCATTCTCACAAAGGAGTAGTCGGATTTTTCCCCATTAAACAACTATTTTAGGCAGAGGCAGAAACAAAATATCTAGTTTCAAAGTAATTTCAGAAATAGTCTTCTCACAAAGCAAATCTTATAGTCTCTGATGCATAAAAATCTTTTTTAAATAAAAATAATTCTTTTAACATCACTGGAATGTTTTAAGGATAAGGTGGTAAAACAAATTTATTTAAAATAAAGGTAGTGAAAGATTTATATCTATTGCTATTAAACAGACTGTTCTATCCTGAGTTACTTTTATAAGAAAATATATTAAAGAACAGGATAAAATTTATGAAAAATCAGCATTACTCTTAGATTTTTCTTTTTGAAATCTTTTAAGGTAGTATATACCTTTTACTAAATACTTAAATATTATTCATTTTAAACAGAAAAAGTATTATTAACTACTTACATTATCCTAATAATATACATCTTTATTAGTAAAAGCCTCAAAAACCTACTCTAACATCCTTCTGATGACAAAATGTAAGACCTTTCCTTTGTAGCTACATTCAAGTCTCTAAAATTTGCTCCAACATCACCAGGCCTATCAGAGGTTGCTTTCAACTATAGATCTTCTGTGCTTCATGTCTCTAAGAGATATAAAGACCAACTACTTAAGAAAGTCATACTTACTTTCTGAGAAAGATACCTGTTATGGTTTAGATATGAGTTGCTCCCCACCAAAGATCATGTGTTTAGAGTTTGACCCCCCCAGGTGGTGGCGATATTGAGAGGTGATTGGATTAGTAAGGGTGCTAACCTCATCAATAGATGAATACATTCATAGCTGAATGTGCCCTTAGGAGGTAGAGGAAGTAGGTCACTGGTGGCTGTCTTTGAAGGGTCGCCCTTAGGAGGTAGAGGAAGTAGGTCACTGGTGGCTGTCTTTGAAGGGTCTTGCTTACCGTGGTCCCTTCTGTCTTTCTCTTCTCCTGGCCACCATGAGCTGAGCAACTTTGGCCACAAGCTCCTATAACCATGATTATTTTGCTTTATCTCAGGTTCAAAGCAATGGATCCAACCAACCTTGGACAAAGACCTTTGAGACCATGAGCCAAAATAAATTATTCTTCTTTAAAGTTACTTTTCTGAGCTATTTTGTCACAGTGATGGAAAACTGACTAACTCAACACCATTACTACTATTACTAACTACCTATATAACCATTATGGGGGTATATGACAAACCGTTAGAACTCAAAACAACAAAAAGGATGCCTCTTTTCCTGCATTTCCTTTCTGTGATTACATGTAACATGGACATTTTCTACATCCCACATTCAAAACCTATGACTCAGCCTACTTGATTTTCTCTCTTTTTATCAGTTTTTAATCATTTTTGAAGCTTTGCTTTTTGGCCTATAGATTTTTTAAGACCAAGTTAATATTCAGTGTTGAAACCCCTTCTCCCCACTATAAACCTGTAAATCTAAATGTCTACATCATTTCTCTTATGCCATGTTCCTTGGCTATTGGAATTTATTTCAGGTTAGTGTGAAAGAGGATGGAGATGGGCTGTACAAAGTCCACACTGAGAAACTCTGCCATGCCCTGCTTGTCTCATAACATTTCATGTCTACTTAATAACAACCGAACCCTTATACATAGGAAAAATCATGAGAATTTGTTAAAATTTAGACACTAAGGCCCTTCTTCCAGTTTTCAGGATTATATAGCTGAGGCATGCTTAGAGTGATGATAACACTGGCAGTTCACTGACTACATGTGATTCAGCAATTACAAAAATGGCCCCAGTTATCCATCTCTCCCTCTCTCCAAAACCTTTGCAATGCAATTTTACTATTCCTCCAACAAAAGGTAGAGACTGTTCCCATTTCTTGTAAGTCTAAGTTGTTCTTTAACCTGCTTTGGTAACATAAAACTATGGAAATGACAATGCTCAACAATAAGCCTAGCCTGTCTCCACACTTTGTCTTGGAAATCTTATGTCATGGCCTTGTGAATAAGTCAGCCCGCTGAATTAAAACTGTCGGGCATGTAAATGAGGCCATTCTAGAGCAGCCAGCTCCCAACTAACCATTGCAGACACTATGGCTTACCAGTCAATATCAGGTAGCCTGGCCCAGCTGATCACACACTCTTTAGCAAGAATAAATGCTTACTGTTTCAAGACACAAGTTTCAGAGTGATTTGTTACACAGTGATAGGTAAATGATACATCAAAATTCTGATACTCTTCATGTAAGAAACATTATCTTCCTCACTTCTGCCTCATTCACAATCTAAGTTCTTATTTTTAGTTCAGACTCTTACAACACAGTGTTTCAGCTTGACTGTCCACTTGCTATTATCCTCCAGCTCCATGCATACTGCTGCTGCTTAGACTGTATTGGCATACTTTGTGTATCATAATCATGCATAATACCCCACAAGTACCCAGTCCTTGTTTGCACAGTGACTGCTGCCAGAATCATAAACACAGTTGAACACATCACTCTCCCACACAGAATGCTCTTGGCATCTACACAGTATGCTGTGTCCTTTCCACTGGGCCTATCTAATTCTAGGACTTCTGTGATCAGGTCCCAACATAGCTTCCTGCTCCTCTTCCTTCTCTTCTCTTAATACTCTGTTCAAAAATGAGGACGGGATGAACATGCTCCTTATTTCTGTGTCCACAACAACACTCACGAGTCCTGCCTACAACGCCTTCCACATTTCTGCAAATTCTATAGGTTCTGAAGGTCTCGCTCAAGTGTCTCCTCTTCTAATAAAAGTTTACCCCTTTCCTCTGCCTCTTGCTCTTAGGTAAGCCTCTCGTAGACACCTGATGTTATGGTTACTTTTGTGGTATAGCGTGGGGAGCGGATTTTGAGAATCCTAGGCAAAATGCACCACAACTGCTTTTCCTACATTGTTTATGTTCAGAGAAGTAGGAACACAAGTTTCCCTTGTTCCAATGTCACCCTCCTCCCCAAGAACTGTTGCTCCACCTCCTTGTTTACCACTGGATATAAAAGACTCACTGAAGGAAGACGCGAGGTTTTTTTGATGGAAAGATTTTTTGATGGAAGGGTTTTTTGATGGGGGATTGAGGGAAGGTTTTGATGGGGAATTTAGATTGGCTGGCTGTGGGCTGCTTGTGAAGCTGCTGCGAAAATGCTGCTGCTGCTGCTGAGTTATGCTAGAGATTAAAGGGAACATGGGACAGTGCAAGTCTGAGAACCAAGACTTTAGGAGAGATTAAAGAAAACACGAGACAGCATGAGTCTAAGGAAAGAGCCTTTAAGGAAGCAAGGTTTTAAAAAAAAGACTTTAGAAGTAAGGCTTTAAAGAAAGAGAAAAGCAGTAAAAGGAGAGTTATTAGAGAAAAGAAGCAACAAGGCTCCTGTGCGTCTCTATCTGAGCGCCCCGCACACCTGGCCCCAACTTTATGCATGTCTGTCTATCGTTTGTCCTTTCTGCATCTCCAGTCACCCCCAGTTAGGTTCAGTAGTAACGGAGCACGAGAAAGCCTTGACCCTGGAGAGACTGAGTCAGCAGAATTAAAAACTGAGTTTTACAGATATGAATTCTAAAGTAAACTCTTTTTCTATGCCCCTAAGTTTTTTTTTTTTTTTAAGTTTCTTGACTTTAATGTCAAAGCAATGAGTGCAGCAGACCTATAAAAAGACCCACCTTAACAATACACACACAGCCTGGCACCTTATTAGCATGGGTTGCTGGGAATATGCCATCACACCCTCACAATCTGCACACATTTTTCACCTATATGCCCTTTTTATAAACTATTCGAAGTTCAATTTGCTACAAACAGTCCTTTTTCAGACCACCTTACCACATGAAGAATGCTTTAAAATAACTAAAGGGTGCAAGACTCCTACCTTGGTCCCAGAGGCTGGCTCTTAGCGCTCTCTCCAGCTGTTCCTCCTCACTCAGTCCCGCTGTGTATACATCGTAGTTCCTGGGAACGTCTTCATAGAGCCCTGGCCTGCTGTACGAGTAATGATTCTGATATCCAGAGTGGCCTGTGGCACAATGAAAAGGTTATACAACATAGCAACACACTGCTCTTTTGCTTCAGACTTCCTACATTGTATAAGCAAAGACAAGCAAATAATTAATGTCATTATTTTAAGTATACTAATAATCCTCAAAACAAGAAAAGATGGCAAATGGAGAATGCCTCCACAAGAGTGGGCAATGAGTATATTGTCACTGTTGTACCCACAGGGCCCAACATGGACCCAGACATGCATGAGACCTTATATGATAATGAGGAAAGGATCTATTAATTTATAAGGTAGGAAGAAGCCCTAGAGAAAGGACAGGAACAGGCTTACTGACACATGGACTAGATTCTTTCAGCTTAAAGCTATTCAGTACTTGGAGTATTTTCTGCTAAGTCCTGACTTGAGTTTAGAGAATGGTGGCAATAGTTGATAAAGCTTCCTTGTCTTGTGGCTCCATACAATAAGAAGCAGACCAATGCTTCACACATATACTACAGAATTTCCATGGTGCATTTCATACTTAAGAGAGTTACAAAAAGATTGAGATATGTGAGTCAATTTCTCAAAATTATAATTCTGTCAGATACTGTGGTTCCTATTAATGGCACTTTCAAAAAAATGCTTGCTAGAAAAAACAAGAGAGAAGAGATAACCTGATAATTAAATACTGCCTTAAATACTAAACTTAGACATTTCATTAATAAAGGTCAGTAACTTGCAAAATATTTCTATCAATTTTTTCAGTCAAGCTTGAGTTTACTCTTTATATTCTCTTTGACTGTCAACTGTTACAGAATTAGTTTTGGAGAGATGATTTTTTTCCCATAGAAGACTACCAATCTCGTAATGAAAGAGAAGTTATAGGCCATTTATAGCATGGTGGCATATGTTTGTCATCCCAGCTATGACAGGAAGCACAAACAGGAAGATTGGGTCAAGCGGTAGAGTGCCTGCGTAGCAATCTCAAGGCTTTGAGTTCAATCCCAAGTACCACCAAAAAAAAAAAAAAAACAAATAAAAAAAAAAGGAAGAACACTTTATTCTTTATGAATTGTCTAATTTCAGATTTGTTATAGAAACAGAAGATAGACTAAGATATTGAAAACTATATAATTCACCAATTTAAAGTGTACAACTCAATGCTTTTTAATATATTCATATAGCTGTACCATCATCACCACAAACAACTTTAAGCATTTTCATTATCCCAAAACAGAAGTGTGTATCCTTTCAGCTAACATGCTCCCAACTTTCCATTCCTCTCAGCTCTTAGTAACTACTAATCTACTTTTTAAACGCTACTGAAATGCCTATTCTGGGCAAATTATATAAGTAGAATCATATAATATGTGGTGTTTTGTTTCTTGCTCATTTCACTTAGCATAATATTTTCAAGGTTCATCAATGACTTGATTGGCATCAGTATTTCATTCCTTTTTATGGCCAAGTAATATTCCATTGTGTGGATAGATTGGATTTTGTTTATCTAAACATCAGTCCCAACAGAATCATCATAAGGCTTTACCGTGCACTAATGTGCTGTGGATACTCTCCAGCAGGATTCAAGTCCTGAGAATAAAGGAGGCTGTGGTAGAGCTCACCAGAAAATAAGCATTTCATAGGAGAGCACATAGTCAAACCAAAATGAATACATCTGCTTCACAAAGAACAAAAGAAAGGGGCAAACACTCCAAAACACTAACAGAATATTTATGAAAAAGTCACCGAATACCATGGATGCTTCAGAAATCCCTGAATAGAGAGACTACCCAATTCCCTAAGAATGCCAATTATTTTACTGCAACACAAAAAGCACATTGGGTAATTTCCCACATGGCTCATTATCACTTTCAAGTCCGTGTGAAAATCACGCTGCTGTAATAGGTCTAAGCAACATTTCTACCTACCCCCCCCCCAAAGACTCAGCTACTTCAAAATCCAAATAACCCAACGCTTCTGAGTTCTCATGAGTACAGCTACTACATAGAACTACAGTGTTTTAATTGCAGTACATCTGCAATTATTTTAAGCAATGTTTTCTTCATATAGAAAAACATTTTTCTTCATGTTATTCCTTATTTAAAAATAATCTAACAGTGCTTTAATGAAATAAAGTCAACAACTCTAAACATATGAATATTATAAAACCTAATTTGGTACTTGTCAGACAAAATGTCAGGAGAGAGAATGGAAAAGTTTTAGTGTCCCAAGTCAAAAAGACTAGTGTGGTTAAAAAGTTCTATATCATCAGTCATAAATCATTAACAAGACCAAAAATCCCATCAATATCTATTATGATGAGAACAAGTCTCCTAGGACCAAAAAATTTTCTACAGCTGTTCTACTGACCCAATCAGATGTTTTAAAATCTTCATAATAAACATTCCTGGAAAAATCTAACAATCAAACCCTTAAGATAAATAAGTTTAAATTATATCCTGTGATGAATACTCATTTAATGTTCTTTTTCAACTATATACTTTGGCTCTACAGTAAAAGAAACTCTGGTTATCATTATTCTATTAACTATTCCATCTGTTCCTTATACACATACCAGTATTTCATGGCAAAAGAGATCAAGAAACACCATCAAGATTAGAAAAATTGGTAACAGCTTTTTAAACATTCATAAGGTTCTTTGACCTATTAAGGCTTTCCCAGCTAAAGACAGCCATATTAAGAATAAATCATTACATATAAGAGATATATATGCTCTCATAAAAGTTCCCTAGATGACCATTTGCATGGCCATCTGGCCTTCTGTAGCTCTGCCTTTGAAGAAATCCAATCACTTCAGAGGAAGGAATAAAAATATGGTAATCTTACAGAGGATCAAAAAGAAAGGTAAAAGGGACTCGTATTTTTGCCTTGAATTTTCTGTGTGTCCGCTCTGCCTATGTGTCTTCCATATGAAAGAAGAAAGGAGCAACAGGTTTCTTTCTTTTTTTTTAATAGATGGGGTGAAAAAAGAAAAGAAGAATTGAGAAAAGGGAGTAGGTGGAGCTATCCTATTTTGTACAGTTGGCAAAGTGCATATCTTACATCCCTGTATACCAGAAAAGGCAGAGACTGGGAATCAGTGACTCGTGTCTTTATCCTAGTCCTACTACTAACTACTTATGGGAATTTGGCTAAATTACTTAACCTTCCTAAGCCTTAATTCCTAGTTATCATGTACAATGTTAGGACCAGGTAATCCATGATAGTTTAAGTCATGTCTATGCACAAGTAAATTCATTGCTCATAGGAACACTGCTATTTCTGTTGGGGATTTTAAAAAGTCAATCAGAGTTGCATGTGGTGGTACATGTCTATAATCCCATCACTCAGGAGACTGAGGCAGGAGGATTGTGAGTTTGGGGCCAATTTGTGCAGTAAGACCCTGCCTCAAGAAAGAAAACAAAAAGTGAACCCAAAGAGAAGCCCTTTTCACTCTAGCACCTTTAAGCTGTTACCTGCTATGTCCTCTGACTCATGAAGAGAATAAAGTCAACAGAAACCACAATGTGAGATAGAACCATGGTTTTCCTGGCCAACACAAGTCTTCTGGTCACACAGGCCACATAAGTCTCTACAATCAACAATGAAATGTGCCTTTCGTTTGACTATAGTTATCTGTCCAAAGCTATATACCTTTTCTCTTCAGGTGAGTCCACATGTAGAAGTAAGTGAGCTGGCATTGTCTAAAACTATCCCTCTGTACCCAAACTAAGTTTCTAGAATTTTAAGCATTCAAACCAACACAGGTGAAGCTTGGAAGTGAAGCTTTTTCTTGGGGCAGAGAGAGCACTCATATCTGTGGTACTCTAGTCTAGGAAACCCAATCATCTAAGGGTGTGTTTTTTGTATCTGATTCCATTACAATCACCTGGGAAGCCTTTTTTTTTTTTTTTTTTTTAAGTTCCATTCCTTAACTCTACCCCTATCCTGATTTCATCAGTCTGGGAGTGAATTCAAGACATCAGGTGGTTGTAAAAGCTCTTCAAGTGATTCATATACTATACAGCCAGGATTGATGGTCATGAGCCAAGACATGAGAGCTTCATGGAAAACAGAACTCAAATGTAACTTCAATGCTATCATACTACTGATTTATTCTCTAGGTGCCTCTTCAGCAGATTCTGGACAATCAGATTCTGCTTCCTCTCCCATTTCTTTCCTTAACTTCTAGTCATCCATCAAGATCCAACACTGTACTTCCTCTGGATGACCTCCTCTAAAGCAACCCTGCTAGTTCCTGCCACAACATGTACCTCGATGTTAATGTTCCAGGACTTCTACCGGGAAGCAGCAACAGGGACTGGATTAGCCTCTGCCAAAATCAAGTGGAAGACTGGAGAAAATACATGAAAACTAATTTCAGATGTTGTAAATAGATAATACAATATTTTAAACTTTGAGGAAAGGAAAATACAGGAAATGAGGCTGAAGGAATTTTCCAGGCTGCAGTGCAAGAATGGGAAATGAAGCAGAGCCAAGTGGACTCCTGACTTGAGAAGTCACCCAGGGGAGCTGAGGGTGGGGAATGACTACAAGGACACATAGTAGAAACTCAACAAATAGTAGCATTACTAATCATTATCCCACTGCCCTGTCCCATCCACACCATGGTTCAGCATTCTATTTTCTACACCTCGATAAGTCCTGTTAGTTTCTATTGTTTCATCTTTTCAAATATATGGCAGTGCCTACATTCTGCTCTGATTATAAACTCTTTGACAAAGGGACTATTTTTCTTCTTTTCTCTCCTACAATGTCCAGTCTGCATAGCATGACTAGTCACAAAATGCTACTGGGCAAACCATTCTGTGCCTAAGAACACTGTATAGGAAAATAAAGCAAAAGGAATATATGCATATACAAATACACACATGGATTTTTTTTGGCAGTACTGGAGTTTGAACTCAGGGTACCTTGCATGCTTCCAGCCCTAGGCAGTCTTTCATTTCTGTGACAAATACTTGAGAGACCACCTTAAAAGGAAAAAGGATCTATTTTGGTTCAGTTTCAAAAGTTTCAGTCCATGATCACTTGGACCCATCATGGTAGGACAGTGGTAAGGCAGAATATCATGGAGGAGCAGTGTAGTAGAGTAGAACTTCTCATCTCCCAAAGGCCAGGAAGCAGAGACAGACCATGCCTATTCTAGTGGGATCCCTTCTTCTTTGGCTTTTATTTCATATGGATCCCCACCTATTGTAAAGTGCCACCCCATTCAGGATGGGTCTTTCCTCCTTAGTTAATCGTCTCTGGAAAAGCCCTCACAGACACATTCAGGGGTTGGCTTTACTAATCTCTCAGGCATCTCTCAATCCAAATAAGTTGATATGATTAATCATCACAAGTCTTACCCCTTATCAACTTCATACCCAAATGTATCTTCTTAAACCACAGTCAATCTCTAAATAAAGGCATTAGCAAGATCATAATTCTGCTGAATATGATATAAATTTTCTGTGTACAACCAAAAATGCACTACTTCCCTCCTCAGAGTCTCAACAGTTTCAGCATTTTCAAAAGTCTATTTTAGAGTTTTCTCTGAGACTCAAGGCAAAGTCTTAGCTGTGGTATCCTATAAAAAGTAAATAAAGCAAGACATATATCTTCAAGATACAATGGCACAGAATAAACATTCCATTCTGAAAGGGAGGAATATAAACAAAGAAAGGAGGGATGGGACCAAAGCAAAACCAAACTCCAGAAGAGCAGACATTAAATCCCATCGCTTAATGTCTAGCACCTGGGACACATGGCAGCTCTTCTGAAGGGCCTAGTTAGATAAGGCCATCCATATGGTCTTGCTTTTCACAGTCTACATGGCCTCTCTCTTGGGCTGGCTCTGTTGTTGCCTAAGGCTTTCCTTGGCAGATGTTTCCAACTTCCTGGAGTCTCCATTGCATCTTTGGCTTTGCTCTCACAGATTCATGTATCCCCTTCTCAGGGGTCACCCTCAGGGATTCTAACCCTCGTACATATTTTCTGGTTTTCCTTTGAAATCTCACTGGAAGCCTCCATGTTTCTGAAACTCTTATATTCTATGCCTGCAAAACCAGCACAATGTGGATGATGCCAAGGTCTGCCATCAGCTCAAGCAGAAGCAAGACCCCCCAGGATCATGGCTAGAAGTAGCTTTTGAATACCTGAGCAGCTAAACACAGTGAAATGAATCCTGGGAAACAATTTCCTTGGGAAACAATATCCTAGGCAATGCTGTGCAAAAAGGGTGCCCTAGTGGTTCTCTCTTCTCAAGGGGAAGTCTTTCAAATGACTTTACCCTTTCAAACCTTTGAGCCTATGATGGGTAGGGTCCAGCCAATAGCTCAGATGCCCTCTGGGCATCCTTCCAATAGTGGACATGCAAACCATACCTTCCTTAGCCCTATCTTTGCATGGGCTCTTCAGACCAAATAGCAAGTTTCTCAAATATTTTGCTTTACTTTTTGCTCCCAAAACTCACTGTAAATCTCACTAAAAGCAACTAGCAATACCCAGGCAACAGCATGAATTCTGCGTTGCCTTAAAATTTCCTTCAACAGATTAATTAGCCTGTTACCTTTAAACTCAACCTCCCACAAAAATTTCAGGGCATGGAGGAAATGTAGACAAGTTCTTTCTACAATGTAACATGAATGGTCTCTCCTTCAATTCCCAAGAGTTCTTGTTCCCACCCAAAACCTCATGAGTACAGTCTTTCCTCTTTGCATCCCCACCAGGATTCTGGAATTCTGAGCTCATAGCAGAATCACCCATTAAGCTCTGCTTAAAACATTCTGGGACTTTTCTAGCCCACATCTCCAAATGTTTCCAAAGTCTTCCCACAAACCAGTTGCAAAGGCTTCTGAACCACGTTTTGTAATAACAATGATCCCATTCTTCATATCGATTTTCTGTGTTAGCTTTTTCACTGCTGTGACAAACACCTGAGAGAACACCTTAAAATGACAAAGAATTTATTTTGACTCATGACTTCAGAGCTTTCAGTCCATGGCTACTTGGTCCCATCCCTGTGAACCTATGGTAAGGAAGAACATCATGGCAGAAAGGGCATATTGGAACAGGCTTGCTCAACTCATGGAGGCCAGGAAGAAGAAAGACAGTATATCTGCGCTACTAGGCTTCCTTAACCTTTCCCTTTTACTTCATCTGGGCTCCCAGCCTCTTGTACAGTGCCATCCACATTCAAGGTAGGTCTCACTCCCTTAGTTAACTATCTCTGAAATACCCTCAAAGATACACCCAGAGGTTTGCCTTACTCCTAAACATGTCTCAGCCTGATCAAGTTGGCAATCCAGATTAAGCATCATATATACATTAACAATAATTCTTTGTATCAATACTATTTAAGCTAAGGGTCAAAAACTACGACTCATTATCCAAATCTAACCATTTACCTATTTTTGTTAATAATATTTTACTGGAAGATAGTCATACCCATTTATTTATTGTTATAAGCTGCTTTCATATCCAAGTTGACTATGTGCAACAGAACCATGTAGTTTTTACAGCCTTAGAGCCTAAATCATTAGTTTTCTGATCTTTTATTAAAAAAAAAAAAAAAGGCTGCCAACACCAAGACTAAAGTATAGCCATTATGAATTGACATGAATATAAAATATACATTATTAATATATGTTACAGTACTCCACTTGAACTGCTGTAAGAAAAATAATAACCATAGACTGGGTGGCTTAACAACAACAAAAATTTATTTCTACAGTTCTGGAGAAAAGAAGTCCAAGATTAGCGTGTCAGCATGGTCATTCTGGTGAGGACTCTCTTCCATACTGCAGACTGTCAACTTCTATTTGTATCCTTACATAACAGGAATAGGACTAGAGAGCTCTCTGGGGTTCCTTTTACACTAGGGGCACTATTTCCATTCATGAAGGCCCTACCTTCATGACCTAATTTCTTACAAAGACTCCACCTCCAAATACCATCATGATAGAGATTAGGATTTCAACATGAATTTGAGGGAGACACATTCAGTCCATTGCCTTACAATATTCAGTAGTCCCATAGCCTATAGCTTCAACACCTGTTTGCTGGTAGTGGTCCAAGATACTATAGTATAGCTGCCTACTTTGGTTTGAATATAGTTTATCCCCTCATGCAGGAGTCTAATCCTCAAAGGCACATGTTAATTGTATTAAGAGGGTAGAAACTTAATCTGACTGTGGAGTTTAGAAGTAGGGCCTTTGGAAAATGAATCAGCTTAGACTAAAGTCATTAGAGTGGAGGCTCAATAACTGAATCCTTGTGGGTTTACAAGGTGGCCAGAGACCAAACACAAAATCATATGCACTGTCTCTTGCTATATGATACCTCAGGACTTTGCCAATAATAAAGCCATTACCAGAACTGAGTCAATGCCAGTCCTTGAGTCATCCTGAATATGCAGATGGGGTTGACTGAAGAATTGTATACCTGAGACCAAATTTTAACACTATGCCAATACTGCAGCCTCAGACTGAGAATCAAAGCACCGGAGTCACAATTTTTTTTATGACAGAGTTACCACCTTCCCTACCAACTCACCCAAAGATGCTCCCTGGGCTACTCTTCCTCATCTAGCTTCCAGGAAAGTAAGAGGTGCAGTTATATAACACATGAACTATTCTGCCACATCATAAGCTAGTGTTATCTTAAAGGAGCTCTATATTGGTGAAAACTGTAATTTTAAAAATAAGTTGTCAAATGAAATAAAGTGCTTACCTGCACTATTAAAGTAGTACTGCTGTCCTGGGTAACTATTATTGGAGGAAAAAATGCCTAAATATGAAAGAAAACAAACATTTTAATGGTATACATAAGGCTTCAACTGCTTATCTTTCTAATAATTAGGAGGTTCTTTATGACAATGCCCAGGGTCACTTCAAATGATTTCTGAATAATTGCTAAAATAAATTCCCTTTTGTTTGGGGCCAGCCCTAGAAGGAACAGGCATGTTGTGGGGGAGGGTCTTGGGGTGTCAAGGAAACCCTAATTTACACTCATTGCAGTTTCTTAAAGATCCCTGTTGACTTAATCTGGCCTTTGCTTCATAAGGTATTAAGTTTGGGCTTTGATGCCTTTGTAAAAATACAGATGCTCTGACTAAAGAGAGAGCCTTTGCCCAAGAAGGGTGTTAGGGGAGCCCTTTTCCCTATATTTCCTAAGGCACTTTCTCCTTTCTCATCCCTATAAAAGTTATTTTGGTAAGCCTCTTGCAGGCTTACAGACAGCTACATCTATAAGTTTGGTCATTTTCCACAAGTACTGTATCACTTCAGTTCTCAGTTCACTCTCGATCCTTTCTCTGGCTTCACCAGAAAACATTCAATTGCACTGAATATATTTTTCAAAGTTACTTTCTACTGTTACTTTTGAAAAAAGACTGATGCAAAAATATCTCCACAAAAACAAGTAAGGTTTAAGGAGGGAAGATTAAGAGTTAAAACATTGTAACTGAGGAGAAAATCCTTTTTGAACTCAGGGCCTCACGCTTGCTAGGTAGGTGCTCTACCACTTGAGCCACCCCACCAGGCCTGAAAATCCTTTTTAAAAATTAAACCAAGCACTTGCCTCAGATTTTTAACATGTCTGCAGAAAGCTTTAACACTCACTTAATTTTGAGATACAGAAAAATGAAGCAAAACAATGTACTCTCCAGAATCATTTTTCCTCCTTTATCAGTACTCATTACAAGTATTACATCACTAAACTACAGTAAAAATAAAATAGAACTAGACATTTTCTTTTTTCCTGAAATGAAATCAGGTTCTTTATTCTCAAGTGTGCACCAAAGTCTTACATCCTGTCCTCATGAGGAATTGCCAGATTACAACAGGTCATCACTAAGAGAACCAGACATTTTCGATTCATGAAGCTTCTGCTGCCTCCTCCCAGCACACACAGGGAAACACAGTCAAACAGGAATCTGCTTACAGGCAATACAGCCTGGAAAAATCACCCCAAAGTCAACACAATCTGCTAATAAAGGTGCTGGGCATGCTGAGAGTGCCTTCCAATATCATAACTATCATGTGTTCTCAAGAATACCAGTCATTGGCACAACCTGTGAGAACAAGTTATTTATGGTTCAAGAAAAGGAAAAATAGTCTCAGAAGATTTCCTATGAATAAAAGATGAACTATTGGAACTCACATGGTCTATAAAACAAATGCTTGCAAAACAGTTTCCTTACAAATCAAAACCAGTAACGCATTTTAAATTAAAATGCATTTTTAATTAATTAAAATGCATTTATTTCCAAATAAAATGTTTTCATTGAGCATCAGTTTAAAGAGGAAAAGAAAAGAAAGAAATCGGCAGGAGCCAAGCTTCAAGTGGTAATAGACCTGGCTTTGCCATGCATAAATACAATGTCTTATTGTGATCATTCTGAATTCTTTAAAATACTGGCCTTGTATTTCAGTCTAGGTTTGGCTTTTAAGTTTGCCTTGCACAAATATTAATTTTTGGAATATTTTAGAAGAATGTATGATTTTAAATTCATTTTAGTACTCTCCATTTTTGAGTAAATCACTTTTCTGTGAGTAGTGTTAGGGCTGAGGGTCTAAATAGATACTGGCATTTGTTCCTTTTTTGTTGCTGTTGTTGTTGTTGTATTGGGGTTTGACCACAGGGCTTCATGCTTGCTAGCAGGTACTCTACCACTTGAGCAACTCCACAAGCCCTGTTTTTTGTGTTGGGTGTATTCGAGATAGGGTCTCACAAACTGTTTTCCTGAGCTTGCTTTGAGCCAGGATCCTCCTGATCGCTGCCTCCTGAGTAGGAAGGAATATAGATGTGAGTCACTGGCCCCTGGCTGGGCATTTGTTCCTTTTGGGAGCAATGTGAGGGAACTACACTATCTTATTATATCTTGGCTTAAAAAGAAAAATGAACATGTTAGTAAATTTTTAAGCTGAACCACAAGGAAACTTCAGGTTGTTTCTGTACACATTAAAATCAAGATGAACTTCCAACTTGCTGTCAAGCCAAAGGTGTTTAAGTTCTGCACCTGCACAGGTTTCCATGATTTTCTTCATAGGCCCTTGAGTGTACAGTAGTCCAACAAGAATCCCGGCCAGGTGCCCAGCAAAGGAAGTCCTAGGAGGGAAGGACACCTTTTTAAAGTGTATGTTCTGCTGCTGATTACCAACATTCTGTCTTCTCATTAGCCCAGTGTATTTCAATTAGTCACAGTCTGCAGACTTTGTTCCACATCACGTCATTTATGCTGAGCAGCATTTAACTCAATCCAAAGAACATTTCCTACTTTGAAAACAAAAAGTACAATGAATAACAACCCCTTCATGTTTAAAATGCAGCACCTTTCCTTGACCAAGAAAAGTAAGTTGGCTTCACCAGAGCAGATGGAGCATTTTGTCAAGACAAGCTATTAAATTATTTCCAGTTTCTCTCTGCATCTCTTATTGTGAAAAATATCTGTAAGTTTTCTTCTGTCCAGAATTAATCTGTAACTATCCAGCCATTATAAGGAATGATATCCATCTACATTCACAGCAGAGCAGAGAACTGCATTTTTATATACCACTGTTTAGTAAGGTAGAAAACACTGAAACTCAGCAAATGAGACTAAGATGCCCACACCCCGCCACCCCCAATCAATTTATGTTCATATGTATCTTTCAGTCAGTTAGCAAAAAGAAACAAAAACTTGAACCTCAAACTTAAAGATAGGTTAGGGCATTGAATTGGTTCCATTCTTCTTGAACCACCATCTATGATTAGCAATAATTTGTAATGTTTATTCATTTATATTTTTATTTATAATAGGGGTTTGAACTCAGGGCCTCATACTTGGTAAACAGACGCTGTACCACTTAAGGCACTTCACCAGCCCTTTTTTTTGTGTATTGGGTATTTTTTGAGATAGGGTCTCAATTTTTGCCTGGGCTAGCCACAATTCACAGTCCTCCTGATCTCTGCTTCCTGAGTAGATTACAGGTGTAAGTCACCAGTACCTGGCTGTTAACATTTATTTTCAAATGTACATATACTGAAGTGGCAACACTCCTAGGAGCCATGGTATTTCCAGGTTCGTACACTTCATTGGCTGAACAATCTCCCAGCATGAGTTTAAAAAATAATTAGGGATTCTCTTGATGGCCACCACATTTTATAACAAACATAAGTTCTAAAACAGTGAGTTATACTCCAAGTACATGACCTCAATTGCCAGCTGCTTGCCACCATCTACACACACACACACACACACACACAAACCTGTACCTTAAACTGTCCTTTTCTTAGGTCTCAAATTTATGTCAGTATCCAGGCCTGTCCCCCTTGTATGCCTGTCACATTCATCCCAGCCTTTCACTCCTTTCTACTCTAACTATACTTCTAGCCCCATACATTCCTGCCTGAACAATTTGGAAAAGCCCAACAGTGGACATAAGGTGAGTCCAAGATGGATACATGCTGAATGAGTGAAAGAATAAATGAAAGAAAATCACCCAGCTGATCTGTCACCCAGCACTTGCTCTTCAATGTATCTACAGAGAGGTTTTAGGATATGATGGCATGTCACTGCCATCCTTTAAAATTGACTGTCTTACTTACAGAATACCAAGCATGTAATCAGACTTTCTAGCACTTGCCTTGCCTATCTCTTCCCTCTAACTTCATCACCACCTACACTCATCTCCATACACCCCAAGTGTTCTCAGTGACCATGAGGCTAAGCTTAACAGCACAAGTCACAAAAATCAGGCTGCAACTGAAGAGTCACTCTCCTTCTATGCTTGTCCTCAGAACCATTGTTTCTACCTCGATTACAGCACACATTCATCCCTCAAGAAAGCTATTATTATCAAATATATTCACATCACAGAATGCACAAAGCCTGATAATAAAAATATGGGACCGAATAATTTCCCATTTCCTAGGAAGAATCCTATGAAATATGCTTTCCTTTAGACCCTGCCCCCCACCTAAAAATCGTACCTTTTCATCTCTGTTCAGACTAAAAAAAGAAAACCTTTCACCTAGTTCAAAAAAAGGTAAAGAAGATGACATTTTGAGAGATATTAAGAAAAGTTAACTTTTTAAAAAAAAATCATAACTTTGACTTAACTGAAAAGAATTTAAAAATCAGTATTTTTGAAACTTTTAAATCAACCTTAATTGTGAATCACATAGATATAAAATAATGTAAGAAAATTTCAATTTAAAACTCCAACCTATTACACAATCTTAAATCTCATTTACAATTTGGTGTACAATACAGCAAAATGAATTTCTTATCTCTCTAAATAAGGTTTCAGAAGTTTAAATTATAGTCTAATTGCCCTAATATAATTGCAAATAAGTAGGATGGGGTGGCTGGCTAGCCAGAGAAGACATTCAGCATTTGCCACAAATGATCCACCACAAAAAAGTTAGCTGCTTTTATTGTTTCATTTAAGCTCTGTAAAGGTAGGGGTTTTTTTTTGACTAAAAATAGACTGATCTTATTCAATCAAAATTCATCATCTTACAACATTGCACAAAAAGGGAGAGATTTCCTGAACGAATATATAGCTGATTTTAAGATGCATAGTAACTTTTCCAAGCAATTGACGGCCATTTGGCAAATCACCTCCCTGGCCCCTCTAAGACTGCCATGTCCTGAGAGGAAGGAGCTCTGCAGAGGGTGAGAGGCTGAACTAGGAAGATGGCTGCCCTGCCATAGGATTAGGGTATTTTATCTCTGACCTAGGGGTTCTGCAGAGATAAAGGAAGTCCCAAACTTTGGGGATGAACACACATCTGAGTGCTCTAATCGTGGCAAGAATCGACCTTCAAGTGTAACAACTTTATAAACAGATCATTTTATAATGGCCATAATTATACATACTACAGGGAAGTTTTATCTCAAGGTAAGCCATGGCTTCACTCCTCCTCGCTATACGTGGAAGCTGATGACCTAACTGAAGTAAGAGCAATTCATCACAAACAAGAATTTCAGGCATCAGCACTGTGCCAAAGTGGTTGTACATTCAGCTAGAAAAACATTTTGTTAGTCCTCAAATCACAGCGCAGAGGTGCTATTTATGCAGATTACTTAAGTTTATTAACATATTGTCCAAATTCTTTGTTGTGTCATTGCTTCTATAATGCTGTAGCCTGTTTCTGGCTACTCTCCTTGCTAAAATTTAACTTTTAGTAATTCGTTCAATTAATGTTTGAGAAATAAAAAATTCTTAGTCTTTGTGTGTCCTTAAAGATCTCCATTTTAGCACCCTATTTTTTTTTTCATTTTTCTTTTATTATTCATATGTGCATACAAGGCTTGGTTCATTTCTCCCCCCTGCCCCCACCCCCTCCCTTACCACCCACTCCGCCCCTCCCTCTCACACCCACCCCCTCAATACCCAGCAGAAACTATTTTGCCCTTATTTCTAATTTTGTTGTAGAGAGAGTATAAGCAATAACAGGAAGGAACAAGGGTTTTTGCTGGTTGAGATAAGGATAGCTATACAGGGCATTGACTCACATTGATTTCCTGTGCGTGGGTGTTACCTTCTAGGTTAATTCTTTTTGATCTAACCTTTTCTCTAGTTCCTGGTCCCCTTTTCCTATTGGCCTCAGTTGCTTTAAGGTATCTGCTTTAGTTTCTCTGCGTTAAGGGCAACAAATGCTAGCTAGTTTTTTAGGTGTCTTACCTATCCTCACCCCTTCCTTGTGTGTAGCACCCTATTTTTTGACACTAGATATAGGATCTACTGCTGCACTCAGCAGCAATACTATCAATCAGTCACATCATATAGGTAATCTGTCTTTTCTCCAGCTTTCAAGGTTTTTCTGTTTACTTTGAACATACTGTTGCTACACCATAATCATCCTGGTTGTAGATTTGTTTTATTCAGCCCGCATGCAATTTTCTCTTCTTTTCAATATGAGAACTCATGTGTTTCTCTAATTTCGAAAAATCTTCAGTCGTCAATTTTTGCGCTCTAGGTCTCCAGATATGTAGCACTTGTGGATTTCCTGATATGTATTTGAATATACACTTATAGAAAAAAATTAAAATAATAAAAAAAGAAAAAGTTGACAAAAGTCATGTTGCCACACATCATTTATAAGGGATAACAATGGTGGAATAGTAATTTCGGAGCACAACTAAGATTAAGATATTATTATGCATTTCAGTTAGGTAAACCATGTGCAGATAATTTTAACATCAGCAGTGTTCCTTCCTGTTGAGCCAGCATAAACCTGATCCTCACCCCTTTAAAGAGATTATTTATAAAGTTGAGCTAAATGATTATGCAAAATGTCCCTGTTCTCATATACCACTATTAAAAGAATCAAGAACTGGAGTTATGATTGAAAGCTATGACAAGCTATAAAGTCCTCCTTTATTGAATGGCAAATTCTTTCCACAGTTGAAAAAGCTGTCCTCTCAAGCATGGCCCAGAAAGCAGAAAATGTATTACTCTAAGACATAATCTTACAGGTATGAAGAGCAAATGACCTCATTAAGGATTTAACTTGATGGAGACACAATGTAGGACAAGATAAGGGAACAAGGTAAGGTGAAAGGCAGTCAGCTATAAGAGGCCTGTTGAACTTTTCATATTTTTTTCCCTATAAAAGCAGTTAACACCAGGTGGGGACTGAGCTGATCAGAGGCTCTGGGGTTTGGAATCTTAATAAATATTTCTAGCAATATTAACAGTGCAGCAACAAGAATAGTAGAATTTTTGGTTTTGGAATGTTAATGCCACAAGAGATATCTTATTGTTTCTTCCCAGGATAAATTGTTCTTAAACTGGCTATTTTCTGTCCTGAAGGCTTCCTCAACCACTACACCAATGTGTCTTCAGCAATGGCAATTTGGGAACAAATTGGTCCATATACTCTCTCTATCATGCCTCCCTGGCTCTCATTCCCATCATCTTTGTCATCAGAGATAAAAGCCACTTTCAAATATTATGTCTCCCAAAGTCAGCAGGATTGGCAATGCACCCTCTAAGATCTATTTTGGTTTATTAAGCATGGTACAACTCTTTTTAAGACATGAGGCTGGAAGCAAACTACCAACATTTACTTGAAGGTCTACACAAACAGGATCTGCATAAAAATAAGGGTCCTGAAAC